GTCCTAAAACTAGAACACCCTGTGTCCCGATATGAGGGACCATGTTATAACGTCTGGGCAACGAGTGCAACCCCGAACGACTAGATTTAAGATAATTTTAAAAATAAATTGCTCCTTTAAAAACAAAAGCAAAAACGGTAGCCGAAAAACTTGGAGCCCTCTTAAAGTTAGGCTGTACTTCATACAAAGCATAACTTCTAACATATACGCCATAAGTGCCTACTATTTTTTATGCAACTTAGAATGGCAAACAAGCTGACGGCCCGCCTGATGGAAAATGATAACCGTCGCCTGTAGACATAGGCAGTACCATGGACATAACAGAGTATACTGTTTCGTCCATGATACTTCCCATGCGTTGTCATTCCTGAGGACTCAGGTGTTATTCCTCTGTACCCTGTAGATTCACTGCCATATCGCACCCTTCAAACCGAAACAGCCATGCAAATACAACTGTCTTCACGGTAGAAATACGAATGGGATATAGGTGCCCAAACAAACGACTTGTGTACAAAGTCTCCCTCTGATATTGTCCACCAAAAAAAAAAAAAAAACAAATCGAGAACCTTCTACATTCTAATGTCGCCGAATTGTAATGCGTGTGTTATTCGTTTGAGTTTTAATATGATTATTTATTCAACTTCATTGATCTTGGGTAAAACATGGTTTTAGTGTAATATTATTAAGTACAGACTAATCCGGCTTACAGGGGTATCTACCTTCAAATCCTATAAAAACGACTGTTTAAATAGCGGAAAACACGATGAACAGAAATATTTGACGTTTATCCTAATTTTAGTAATATCATAAATGTAAAAGTTTGTAAAAAATTATGGACGTTTACATGTTACAAGAGGGAGACTTTGTACAAAAGTCGATTGTTTGGGTACCTCTGTTCCATTCGTGTTTCAACCGTGAAGTAGTTGTATTTGCATGGCTTCGGTTTGAAGGGTGGGATATGGCGTGAATTTACTGGGTACAGAGGAATGACACCTGAGTCCTCAGGGATGGCAACGCATGGGGGTATCATGGGCGAAACAATATACTCTGTTATGTCTATGGTACTGCTCAGCTTGTTTGCGATTCTAAGTTGTATAAAAAAAAATGTTTGTAAGTCAATCACGCTTAAACGGTTGAATGGATTAGATTTTTTATTTTAATTTGTTATGAATGAGAAACGGAATTTAAATTGGTTATTCTTTCACCCAAAAACTACTAAACGGATTTACATAATTTTTTTTAGACAGATTAGGTAACCATATCTTAGATTACCTTATAGGACTTTTTATTCCAATAACGTTATATAGTTAGAATTAAATTAATATGAAAATTATCAGAATTATTTGTACGTTCATTTCTAAAATATGATATTATGAACAAACCTCCAAATTACATACAACTATTATGGATTTATATCTTATTATTTTAACTTTTTCTTTTTTTTTTAATAATTTTAAAATCATATTTTTTTTTTAATTTAAGCGCTACCTATTGCTTCACTGATACGTAGATTATGTAAACAATAAATTACAATTCATGTAATATTTGTTTCTGTAAATAGTGCACTGTTTAGTATGTAGCATTCTAGTAATTATAGACAATAGAAATAATTGAAAAATAAAACAATTATGTGACTGCCACCATTTTGTGTACACGAGGTGAACAAGATGGCGTCGAGTTCAGTGTTCAGATTTTTAATACTGCTCGCGGCTCTTGTATGGATTGTCGCTACCGAAGATGGAAGGAGACGGCGGGAACCGTGGACTAATGGAAGTTGGTTGTAAGTATATAATGTTCTATTTGCTTATCTTCACGCCAAATCCCCTAGAGGGTAAGAATAAAGTACAATAAAATATTGTGATTATTACCTTTATGATATCCATACTAACATCATAGAGAAGAAAGATTTTATTAAGTTTGTTAATTAATTTTGTAACATCTCATAAAACAAAATATAAAGGAGGTAAAATTATATTAAATTTTAGAGAAAATGATATCTTTTTTTTGTTTTTTTTTTTTATTTATCTACAGTCACAAGTTTCCTGAGAATACTGTCACACTTAACTTCTAAATAAATTTAAATTTAATTTAAAATAATTATTTTTTAATCTTTATTTATTTATTAATTTACAACATTGTGAATTATACCAACTCAGTGAATAACGTTAAAAATCATAACCTACCATAGAGTAGTCGATTTGGGGATTGCCTGAGTTTTTCTGAGTCTTGATTACATGTTAGTGATATCGATCGTATGTCTACGCCTGCTTAAAGTCTAGACGTGGACTCAGGTGCGAATATGAGCGGTAATAAAACCTACTTTATATCTTATGCAGCTGGGGATATCAACTATGTAAATGTAGTTTCGAAGTATATTTTAACTGCATTCAATAAACGTAAAGCACTCGGAGTGCTTACAATTACATTAATTTAGAATTACAATTTATCCTATGTATTCATTTTTGGGCAACATTTACCCACAATTTATTAAGAGTATTATAGTCGTGTCTTCTTTTTAAAAGTGAGATATTTTCTATTGTTTACGTGACAATTATCATCATGAAGAGAACTATTAAAATCAATTTACAATTGGTAAATATGTAACACAGAGGAGATACAGTCGAATTGAAAGTTTCCTCCATTTTGAATTTTTTATCGTTATAACCGGACAATAGCTACAATATGCTGATCTTTCATTAAAAATACCAACAATTACTTAATGTACATAGATATTAACAAAAATATCTATTAAAATTGAGAAAAAAAAAATTTATCATAGACAAAAAGGAGGTAAATATAAGTTAATTATTTACCTCTGAAGGAGTTCTATATATTTATATGTATGAAAAAAAATAATTAAAAATATATAACTATTTTAAGGACATACCTTCTTCTGCTATAAGTCGACGCCTTTTGTATCATTTCTCATCACAATTTAATGTATTTACTATTTTATAAATGGTGCAAATAAAGTGTAAAATAAAGTATAATAAATAAATAAGTCTCTGCACTATAGTATGGTCGTGCGTATATCTTGAGTTTTTTCTATAACAATACCGTTAAATTAGTCTGACAGTTTATTACCGTCATATTTATTTTATGGTGTCTTCATGTAATTTATAGTTCTCTCACAAGTAAGACAAATCGAACGACTGTTCCATTTATTAAAATCCATAAGACAACTATCAGGGATATTTAGATACATTCGAGAAACATTACCCTACTTTCTTTGGCAATCGTGTATTAAGAGTAAATAATATAATATTATTAAGCACTAATGATTCGCTCCGACTTTACACGGTTTTGTAGTAATGCCAACTTATCTAGACAGATCAGAGATTAGTATTTTATATTAGCTTTAATGGTGTGACCCAGCATAGAATAGATTACCCCTTTTTTTCCCGTGAGTGTTGTAATCGTAAGAGGCGACTGAGGGCGAGGGATGGGCTGCAGCTTCCCTCTTAAAACATATCTAAAAGCCTTACAGCGGTTTCCAACCCACTTGCCAAGCGTGGTAACTACTGGCAAAACTCCCCTTATAGGGAAGGCTTATGTTCAGCAGTGGACAGTTAACGGCCGAAATAATAAAAATTATAATAAAATTAGCTTTAATAAGCAAATTTTTGATACCTCTAGTTATATAACTGCAATTTTCTTAGGGATATCTTTTTTTTCCAATTAATACATAGCCAATCCGCCTGCCAAGTATGGCATCTACTAGCAAAACACCCCAAGGGGGAGAATTATGTTCAGCAGTGGACAGTTAAAGGCTGATACGATGATGATGATGATGATTATAAATGTGAGAGTAAGTTTACTTATTAACTCTTGGTGCCTTAAAGTCTCCACCAAATGTTATAAAATTTCACATAGTACCTCTTTGGATTTTTCTTTGACGAAGGACATAGGCTTTATTTCGGTCTATTTATTTCAACATATTCCAATCTTGTGGACAGAAAAAGTCTCTGATAAAAGCTAGTTTTATATATTTCTCAGCAGTAAAATTGGCTGTATTACGTAAGTATAGATTCCTCAAATAAATAAATTTGCATTTGTTTAGCCATGCCTATTATTGACAATGTAATAAAAATAAAATAGCAGTAGGGGGTCAAAATAAAATAAATAATACGCAGGTAACTACTTCTACAATGTTGTAGGAACGTTTTATTTTATTGTTATTTATGTTAATCACTATGCAAACACACAAATTGTGTTTATATTCGTTTTATCTGGGACTATAAACTCTAATAGTGTTTTTATACGTTCACTATTACACCTACTTTGTTGACTTTAATATTGTTGACACTCGAATTCTGGAATATTTACAAACGACTGTCAAAATTAGGAGCTCTTCAATTATTTCTTTACCACCGATTTCAAAAAGAGGTACGTTCGGTTGTTGTTTCGATTCGGTTGTATGCTTTTTTATCTTTGTAAATGCATAACTAACTAACTAACCGTCTTGGGGAAAAGGGTTGTTAGTAATGGAGACTAAGGATCCCATTGCTAGCAATATACTCAGCCAGGTCGACCTCCTCGCGGTTCCCCCTGGAAACTATCATGGTTAATTCCTGATGAATTCATCATGATGGGCTAACTGGCCTGTTTTAATTCTCATCTATCACCCTTCACTGGTGCTCCGCCAGCGTATCCCGTTAGTGCAGGCGGGGTTACCATACCATTTTCACCTATCAAAAAAAAAAGACAGCAAGTATGAGTTGTAGAAAGAGACGGGAGTTTTTTATTTGGATTTTTTTTTTATCATGCCAACTGTTAACTCTCCACTGCAGAGCGTAAGTCTTTCCATAAAGGGAGTTTTGCCAATAATTATTACGTTTGGCAAGCAGGTTGGCAATTGCAGCTAGGCTTTGGTAAAAGGGACGATGATGTCCATTCCTTGACTATTAAGTGAACTTTTATATTTCGATGTAAATTAATTGAAATAAAAATAACAGAAACATTACATATTAATGAAATAACTACCAAATTATACGAATATGTATTAATGTATAATTTATTAACACATGTCGCTTTGAAGTAGGCTGCTCGATTCAATTTTCTCCGACGATTTCGCCACTCCGTACAGCCAGAATTGGTACTGAAGCATGTTCACATTCGGACACACGAATGTCAAACTTATCGAGTCCTGTAATAAAGTAATAACTGGAATGATAACTTTTCAGAACCGATTTTAAAAAAGGTGGTTCTCAACACAACTGTGAAGTGTGGTATTGCAGGTGTTCATAGGCTACGGTACTACTACCACTTACCATCAGGTGGGCCGTATGCTTGTTTGCCACCTCAGTGGTATAAAAAAAGTATATTTTTATGTTTGTTACCTCACAACTCCGTCAGTTGTAAACCGATTTGGAAAATTACTTTTTTATTTGAAAGGGTATATTTACAGATTGGTTGCATATAAACTGTATCAAAATCGGTTTAGTAGTTTAATTTTTATATCAAAATAACTGGATGTCACTTTTTTTGTGGTACGCAATTTAGTTGTATTTTTTTTAATATTATGGAAACAAGTGTATATCGCTCCGCAAAAAAGCAACTTCGTAAATGCATTGATAAATGACGAGATTAGAATAGTTTATTTTAAAAAGAACTTAATGCTTAAGGCTTTTCATCCGACTTCAAAAAATGAGGCTCTCTCATCGTCAAAATACGTCAATTGTAAACCGATTTGGAAAAATCTTTTTTTACCTAAAACAATATATTAGTATTATATATTATGAATCCCCAGAAAGACTGATATCCCCAAATTATAGAAGAAATCTTTTATAAAATACTTTCTGGAGACATTATATTTTATGAAGATTCGAAATAAAAAATATCGAAATTAGTCCGAAATCTCACTTGCTTGGAAATCACCCAAGTGATCATCAGCCTTACCTGCATTATTCCACCGTGGTTGATGTAACCCTGACTCTCTGTACTGTCTACAAACAATAACACGTTGAATCCTGTGATCCAGTACTCTTCTATGTAGTCCGTTTGTTTATCTGATTGAAACTGTTAAAAAAAAAACAAATTAATAAACAAATCAAGTCACAATAACTATTAATCTATTGCAAAGATTTTATTTATTTTTTTATTTATTTTTTTATTTATTCTTTATTGTACACAAAAAATTACAACATATAATATATATAAAATAAAGATGTACAACAGGCGAGCTTAACTCTGTAAGAATTCTCTTCCAGCAAACCCTGAGTGGAAAGGAGCATTAATTAATTAATTATTATTAATTTAGAGCCATAATTTTAATATGCTTCTGTAAGAGGAGACATCATCGTATTTTCTAAGTCCATAAATAAAACGTATGCATAAATTCTGTAGCCGTTCCAACTTATTTAATCGTTCCTCTGTGACATCCAGATAACATACGTCAGCATAATCCAGAAGAGGTAGTAATAAAGCTTGGGCGAGTGTGATTTTCGTTTCAATGGGCAAAAATTTCTGGAAAACGTTTGAGAGAGTAAAAAGAAAAGTATAGTTTCCTACTTACTCCATTGATATGCTTACCCCAAGATAAGTTGCTGTCGAACATGATTCCATAATATGATTCCATAAGATTGTTAACATTGTTGTTTTAAAATTCGTCCAAAATAAGGCAGGCAAAGAGCACGGCTTATACAGCCTAGGTTCATAAATAAGGGGACAATTATTTCATTCGTAATTTATATAAATCTTCGTAGGAAATGAAAGCACTAATTGGCAACATTCACCTGTAATTTTACATTTACATCCGCCGTGTGGGTCCGGCATAGAATGGGCCACTCTTTCCCTTCCCGTGGTTGTCGTAAGAGGCGCCTAATAAAATTTTATGGTCGAGGGATAGTCAGTAGCGTCCCTCTTAAAATACCACTAAAGTCTAACTGCGGTTGGCACCTCGTCTGCCAAACGTGGCAACTACTGATAAAACCTCCTTATGGACGAGACTATGTTCAGCAGTGGACAGTTAACGGGCGATACATGTGTATCGATTGTTAAGTTGAGAGATATTTTTTAACTTTTTTAATTACAATACAGAAATAGCAAATACCACAATCCTATACAGCCATGCGTGTGAGAGAGTACTCTATCGTAGATTTCAATGTTATGTACATTGAATAATAAAAAAATAAAAAACTTACCGCACTTGGATAAGACAATGTGAGGTTGATATCTTGTTGTGGAAATGTCCATGACTTGGTTCCGTATATTAATAAGTCCTCGTCTGTCAACATATACAATAGATTTTTTAAAGCATTTGTAAATATTATTAAAAAATTTAAAAAATATATTAATCAAAAGTCTTTCTTCAAATAACGACATAATTGTTTTTTTTTTTTTCTATCATTTATATAACTTAGAAGAGCAAACAAGCTGATAGCCAACCTGATGGAAAGTGGCGACCTTCATATATAGACATGAACAGTACCATGAAGATTTTTTTAATGGGTGTAAATGGCATGGTGACCCCGCATGCGCTATCGGTATACGCTGGCGGGGCACCAGTGAGAGATGTTAGGTCAGAATGAAAAGGCAGGTCAGTTAGCCCATAGTGACGAATTCAACGATAAATTAGTTACGATCATTTCCAGGGGGAACCGCGTGGTGGTCGACTTGATAGGGTATATTGATAGCAATGGGGACTAACCTCCCCATTACTAATCCCTTCCCCCGAATACCATGAAGATCACAAAAATACACTTTGACATACGAAGTAATTACGTGTTAACGTAATTATGTGTTACGTGTATGGACTATCCCTTCCTTTCCCGTGGGTGTCGTAAGAGATGACTAAGAGAACTTAAAGGTCAAGGGATGAGTAGCAGCGTCCCTCTTTAAACATCACCGAAGCCTAACTGTAGTTGCCTGTTCACCTGCCAAGCATGGCAACTACTGGCAAAACCCTTCATTAGGGGGAAGTCTACGTTTAGTAGTGGACAATTAACGGCTGATAAAATGATGATGATGATGATGATACGTGATAATTCGTTTTCCATTAATCCCGTTCCCGTTTTCCCATAATTCCCGTTTAAAACCAAACCAATACTGTATTCTCTTTCAATTTTTGTCACTAATCACACCAATTTTTTTTATACGACTTAGAATGGCAAACAAGCTGACGGCCCACCTGATAGAAAGTGGTAACCGTCCCCTATAGACTTTTTCGCCCAGGATATTAATGGTTTAAGTGAAAGTTGTTTATTATTTTTCTATATATACATATTTACTTATATAATTATTTATTGCCATAATAAATATTGGTAGTTCTATAATATGATGATAATGTGTGATAATGATATGATAATGTGATGATAATTTTTATCATTCACAATCATTATCGTATACAATACATGAATGTATCGCGCGAGGAATCGTTTATAATATAAACCTAAATGTTTACGCATTTACGCATACGCACACACACATACACACGCACGCACGCACGCACACACGCACACACACACACGCACGCACACCCATACAAACACCTATGCATATCCAAACTCACATTCAATGTGACATATTTAAATGAACCCTGTTCGCCGCACTACAACTGTTAAATTTCTAGCTTTGACTTCCACGAGACAGGCTTTGCCTAGTGTGGGCTCATAGTTCTATTGTACTACAGGCTAATTTTGTTTAAGGAAAAGGAAATAAAGTTATTATAATGAAACAGTGCCTAAAAAGAAAAAAAAATATATATAAATACTCACTTTCGTGGTAGTCACTTAGACAGTAATATCTAAAAATTGTCTTGTACAATGTCGAATTCATTAATGTATGGCTACCAATCACTGCACTATTCTCATACAGGTCCTCTTCGCTCACATCGTAGTCATACATTACATATTTCTTCATACAATCCACACACGAAAACAACAAAAACAATAAACACAACTTTCCCGTCATAATTAACGCATAATTATTATCTCTTTTACAAACTATTATTTAATGTCAAAATTCAAAAAAAGAACAACGAATATCTAATTAATTTAAACACATTTTTTTTTAATTTTATTTTTTTTATAAATACTTTTAAATGTTATTATTCAATGTCGTTGAAAATTATACGTCGATGTGTAATAAAACATGATTAATTAAACGAGATTATATCGTATGTCATAATTAATATTGATATCAAATTTACAGATAATCAATTGGACGTTTTTGGGGATCCGTATATAATTTTGTTAAACATAAACCCTTTCATACAGTTACCCTTTTTTTTTTGTTTGTGAAAATTGTTGTGGCAATTTCAAAATGTCCGATCTTAATTGTTTATTATTAAAGCTCAAATAGCAGGTAGCATAATGTTATATGTATTAGTAATTCGTAAATTAATGGTAGTCAGTGTGTGTACGTAGCTCAGGACCATTCCTTATGGCAGCCTATGGGACAGGCCTATGTTCAGCATTGGCCGAATAATGGCTGAGATGATGATACTGATATCAGTATTTAGTTGTATAGTATAGACCAGAGGGAGACTTTGTACGAAAGTCGATTGCTTGGGTACTTCTGTCCCATTCGTGTTTCAACCGTGAAGCAGTTGTGTTTGTATGGTTGTGTTTCGGTTTGAAGGGTGGGATATGGCGTGAATTTACTGGGTACAGGGGAATAACACTTGAGTCCTCAGGAATGGCAACGCATGGGGGGTATCATGGGCGAAATAGTACACTCTGTTATGTCCATGGTACTGCTCATGTCTACAGGCGACGGTTACCACTTTCCATCAGGTGGGCCGTCAGCTTGTTTGGCATTCTAAGTTGTATAAAAAAAAATTTAAAATAATATACTCACAACTATAATTCCTAACAAGTAAGTGAGAGACATTTATCAAATATTCTGAAGAGCATTCACTTTAGACAAATTAATTAAGTTTGTTGTCGGCATTTTTGATCACCCGAGAGTTAGTCGATAATTTTAATTGATATTCAAAGATTTTTGACTTAAATCGGATTCGAACTGAGAGTATCTACGTTTGTAATAATTCATTAATTTATTAGTAATGTCAAAGAATATTTAACACTGATAAAATTAAATTACTATCACTTGATAAAGCAGCGCGTAAGTGCGAATTGCATATTTTATCATGGGTTCCTTACTTATTATTCTTATAAGTAAGAAACCCATGCTTCATCTTTGGATTGCTTTTTTATGCAACTTATAGTACACACACTACATAACTTACAAGTTGATGACCCACCTAATAGAAAGTGGTAACTGTTGCCTAAAAATATGAACAGTACTATGGACATAACAGAGTATACTGTGTCGCCAATCGTACTCTTCATGCGTTGCCATTCGTGAGGACTAAGGTTTTATGCCTCTGTAATTTCACTGCCATGCCCCACCCTTCAAACATGCAAATAGGCATGTAAACACGACTGTTTCACGACAGAAACACTAATGGTACAGAGGTATCTAAGTGAACGATTTTTGTCAATCGACTTTTGTACAAAGTCTTCCTCTGGTATATAGTTGGTTAAATATATAGTTATATAGCTTTTTTTTTAATATATATCCAGTAAAACTCTAATTCTGAAGGTCGTCCGGTAGGGATGATGGATGTATGTGTCACACGAAGGAGGAAGTAAATAAGAATTATATTTATACGATTATTAATAATTAAAATTGGGTTCTAAACAAAAAACAAATACTTGTAGCAAAGTTAGTTATGTTGATTTAAAAATGAAATTACTGAACATATTTTGATAATATTTCTATGAAACGAATTTGTAAGTGCAATATGCTTTTAGATAAAAAGTAGAATTTTATAAATCGGTTATAATCGGTTTAATAGTGAATTAATTATGAGGTTACAAACATAAACAAAAATACACCTGAATTGAAAACTGATCAATATATATATATATATATATATATATATATATATATATATATATATATATATATATATATATATATATATATATATATATATATATATGAAAACATTTATAAAAATCGGTGCAGAATTAGTAGAAACTCCCAAGGTCGATTGAACTAAAGATTGAAGTTGATTTTTTTTGTGTCAAAACAAAACAATGTAATTTGTTTCGCAAACTTGAATTAAGTGGTGTTATTACAAATTCAGCATCGATTTTGATGGCTGTTTTGTGTGAAAACATTCATAAAAATCGGTGCAGAATTAGTGGAAAATCCCAAGTTTGATTGAAGTAAAGATTGAAGTTGATTTTTTTTGTGTCAAAACAAAACAATGTAATTTGCTTTGCAAACTTGAATTAAGTGGTGTTATTACAAATTCAGCATCGATTTTGATGACTGTTTCGTGTGAAAACATTCATAAAAATCGGTGCAGAATTAGTGGAAAGTTCCAAGTTTGATTGAAGTAAAGATTAAAGTCGATTTTATTTGTGTCAAAACAAAACAATGTAATTTACAAACTTGGATGACCTCTAAAACTAGTCAACTTTACAATAACTCGTAAAACAGACAACAAAGAAAGAGTCTATTAACAAAAAAAAAAAAAATTAAAAACAAATTAAAATTTCAAATTAAGCCTACAACACACCATCCCGGAAACATTCTAACCTCAGCATCCACGCGCGTATTAATAATGCATCGGGAACCGGTTCTGAACACAGAGGGCCCAATATCCTTTTGATCTCAGATCAGACCCCTCATTAGGACTACTTAAATACTATTAAAAGCTATTATATTCACACCCAAACATTACAAAGATATATGGTTTTATTGAAAATATATATACAGAGTTGTTAATACGTAGTTTCCATGATTATTTAAAAATAAATTATTTATTACATATATATCGGATGGGGATAAAAAATAGCCTCCAATCTTCTTCATCTCAAGTAGTATCATAAGAATTTATTCTTATAATAGTATATATATATATATATATATATATATATATATATATATATATATATATATATATATATATATATATATATATATATATATATATATATATATATATATATATATGTAATCGGAAAATTATTGAATAATGTATTTTTTGTCGTTTCCGACAATTGTTTCGACTTCATACGAAAATCTTTTTCAGGGGGCGCTTTGAAAGTTTTAAGACTCGCATTTATCTTATGATAATTAAATCTAATGACGATATTTTGAGCCATTAATAAAATAAATAAGAGTTTTCAAAAAAAGGATTTTTCAAATTTTTAGTATAACAAGTATTATAAAAATTTTGGATTTATTTCTAACAAAGGAAATCTAAGTTATGTATTTATTAAATTAAACTTTTTTTATCAATAAAATGTAGTACAAAAAAAGGCCTAAACCTTTAGGACTTAATCTATAATCATATTGAAGATGCCAATTTTCATATGCAAAGCGTGAAATCAGAAATGAAATAAAATTTATTCGTAAAAACATAACTGTAGTTTCTTAACTAATATTACAGTTTTAAAAGAGTACAGTAGTTATGGTTTTAGAATCGGGCTCCTAAATAGGTTAATAAATAAATAAATGAATAAATAATTAAATAAATAAAAGAAATAAGTGTTTTCTAAAAAATATTTTTAATTTATTTACCAATGGAAATATTTACTTGCTTTCCATAAATAAGTCTCGATAGTGACTTTTCGTATACTCAGCTCTATATCATTCCTTAGCTTGCACCACTCCTTCAATTATAACGTTGTACCGGTTCCCTGAGTTCTCTTACGACGGACGGACAATTAATTTCTCTATTTTTATATAGAGATATTTATTATAATATTTTTTTTAGTTGTAGAATTGTCGTAAGCGATGCATGTTCTAATAAATAAGTGCTTTCTCCTAAATTATTGGTGACTTTTAGATAAATAACTCTAGCGAGCGAAGAGTTATTTATCCAAGTACATATATATTACTAGATTTTACCCGTGACTTCGTCCGCGTGACCAGGATATGTTTACGGTCAGTATATATATATATATATATATATATATATATATATATATATATATATATATATATTATATATATATATATATATATATATATAATATATATATATATATATATATATATATATATATATATATATATATATATATATATAGTGACTACCGCCACCCATGATCACCCACAACACTAACGGCATTGCAGGTTTAATTACGGCCTTTTAACAAGGAATACAAATCTTTCTTAAAGGTTATGTTGTCGTATCGGTTCGGAAATACTGCTACTGGAAGTTGATTCCAAAGAGTGGTTGTGCATGGAAGAAAGTGCCTTGAAAAACGCGCGGTGGAGGACCGCCACTCGTCCAGATGGTTGGGATGAAATTTTACATTTATGGCGGGTTGTACGATGGTGAAAATCAGCAGCAGGTATCAATCCGAATATATTTACTTTCCCGTGAATATTTTTAACTCATCATTCTACAGGTAGGACAGGCTTACAAACCCTCTTAAAACATCTCTAGTAGATGGAGTTAACAACCCTATTGCTAGTGTGGCAACTTTGTCTGGTAAAACTCCTTATGGTTAATGTCCATCGTGATTAATTCTTGAAATTATATAATAATAATTATTATTATTATATTATTTCAGCTAAGTTTTTTTTTTTGGAAAATGGCAAACAAGCTGACGGCTCACCTGATGGAAAGTGGTAACCGTCGCCTATAGACATGAGCAATACCATGGACATAACAGAGTATACTGTTTCGCCCATAATACCCTTCATGCGTTGCCATTCCTGACGAGTCAGATGTTATTCCTCTGTACCCTGTAAATTCACACCATATCCCGCCCTTCAAACCGAAATGCAAACACAACTGCTTCACGGTAAAAACACGAATGGAGGACAGAGGTAGCCAAGCAATCGACTTTTGTGTGTATACTAATAAATCAAACGATGTTACCATTCCATTCTCAACCATAAAAAATGCAAACATACGTTTAAAAAAGCAATAGATATATGGGCAATTTGCTAATTGAAAACTATAGGCGCTTATGTCTATTATTTACAAAATTATCTATTAATAATATTATTATTTATTATTATTCTTTCCAACGTGGAAATGCAGCAAGTCTCCTAGTTACCCTACCAGCTGGCAGTGATCTTGAGGAATTTTTTTTTATCTTTAACTATTTAAA